GTGTGTGTCCCTGAGTAACAATTCTGTGTCCCTGAGTAACAATTCTGTGTCTGTCCCTGAGTAAGTAACAATTCTCTGTGTCCCTGAGTAACAATTCTGTGTCCCTGAGTAACAATTCTGTGTGTCCCTGAGTAACAATTCTGTGTCCCTGAGTAACAATTCTGTGTCCCTGAGTAACAATTCTGTGTCCCTGAGTAACAATTCTGTGTCCCTGAGTAACAATTCTGTGTGTCCCTGAGTAAACATTCTCTGTGTCCCTGAGAGTAAACAATTCTGTGTCCCTGAGTAACAATTCTGTGTCCCTGAGTAACAATTCTGTGTCCCTGAGTAACAATTCTGTGTGTCCCTGAGTAACAATTCTGTGTCCCTGAGTAACAATTCTGTGTGTCCCTGAGTAACAATTTCTGTGTCCCTCAGTAACAATTCTGTGTCCCTCAGTAACAATTCTGTGTCCCTGAGTAACAATTCTGTGTCCCTGAGTAACAATTCTGTGTCCCTGAGTAACAATTCTGTGTCCCTGAGTAACAATTCTGTGTCCCTGAGTAACAATTCTGTGTCCCTGAGTAACAATTCTGTGTGTCCTCTGAGTAACAATTCTGTGTCCCTGAGTAAACAATTCTGTGTCCCTGAGTAACAATTCTGTGTCCCTCAGTAACAATTCTGTGTCCCTCAGTAACAATTCTGTGTCCCTCAGTAACAATTCTGTGTCCCTCAGTAACAATTCTGTGTCCCTCAGTAACAATTCTGTGTCTGTCCCTGAGTAACAATTCTGTTCCCCTGAGTAACAATTCTGTGTCCCCTGAGTAACAATTCTGTGTCCCTCAGTAACAATTCTGTGTCCCTCAGTAACAATTCTGTGTCTGTCCTGAGTAACAATTCTGTGTCCCTGAGTAACAATTCTGTGTCCCTCAGTAACAATTCTGTGTCCCTCAGTAACAATTCTGTGTGTCCCTGAGTAACAATTCTGTGTCCCTGAGTAACAATTCTGTGTCCCTGAGTAACAATTTCTGTGTCCCTGAGTAACAATTCTGTGTCCCTGAGTAACAATTCTGTGTCCCTGAGTAACAATTCTGTGTCCCTGAGTAACAATTCTGTGTCCCTGAGTAACAATTCTGTGTCCCTCAGTAAGTCCCTGAGTAACAATTTCTGTGTCCCTCAGTAACAATTCTGTGTCTGTCCCTGAGTAACAATTCTGTGTCCCTCAGTAACAATTCTGTGTCCCTGAGTAACAATTCTGTGTCCCTGAGTAACAATTCTGTGTCCCTGAGTAAATTTGTCCTGTCTGAGTAACAATTCTGTGTCCCTGAGTAAACAATTCTGTGTCCCTGTAACAATTCTGTGTCCCTGAGTAACAATTCTGTGTCCCTGAGTAACAATTCTAACAATTCTGTCCCTGAGTAACAAATTCTGTGTCCCTCAGTAACAATTCTGTGTCCCTGAGTAACAATTCTGTGTGTCCCTGAGTAACAATTCTGTGTCCCTCAGTAACAATTGTGTGTCCCTGAGTAACAATTCTGTGTCCCTGAGTACAATTCTGTGTCCCTGAGTAACAATTCTGTGTCCCTGAGTAACAATTCTGTGTCCCTGAGTAACAATTCTGTGTCCCTCAGTAAAACAATTCTGTGTCCCTCAGTAACAATTCTGTGTCCCTCAGTAACAATTCTGTGTCCCTCAGTAACAATTCTGTGTCCTGTCCCTCTGAGTAACAATTCTGTGTCCCTGAGTAACAATTCTGTGTCCCTGAGTAACAATTCTGTGTCCCTGAGTAACAATTCTGTGTCCCTGAGTAACAATTCTGTGTCCCTGAGTAACAATTCTGTGTCCCTGAGTAACAATTCTGTGTGTCCCTCAGAGTAACAATTCTGTGTCCCTCAGTAACAATTCTGTGTCCCTCAGTAACAATTCTGTGTCCCTCAGTAACAATTCTGTGTCCCTGAGTAACAATTCTGTGTCCCTCAGTAACAATTCTGTGTCCCTCAGTAACAATTCTGTGTGTCCCTGAGTAACAATTCTGTGTGTCCTGAGTAACAATTCTGTGTCCCTGAGTAACAATTCTGTGTCCCTGAGTAACAATTCTGTGTCCCTGAGTAACAATTCTGTGTCCCTGAGTAACAATTCTGTGTCCCTGAGTAACAATTCTGTGTCCCTCAGTAACAATTCTGTGTCCCTCAGTAACAATTCTGTGTCCCTGAGTAACAATTCTGTGTCCCTCTGAGTAACAATTCTGTGTCCCTCAGTAACAATTCTGTCCCTCAGTGTCCCTGAGTAACAATTCTGTGTCCCTGAGTAACAATTCTGTGTCCCTGAGTAACAATTCTGTGTCCCTGAGTAACAATTCTGTGTCCCTGAGTAACAATTCTGTGTCCCTGAGTAACAATTCTGTGTCCCTCAGTAACAATTCTGTGTCCCTCAGTAACAATTCTGTGTCTGTCCCTGAGTAACAATTCTGTGTCCCTCAGTAACAATTCTCTGTGTCCCTCAGTAACAATTCTGTGTCCCTCAGTAACAATTCTGTGTCTGTCCCTGTAACAATTCTGTGTCCCTGAGTAACAATTCTGTGTCCCTGAGTAACAATTCTGTGTGTCCCTGAGTAACAGTTCTTCTGTGTGTCCCTGAGTAACAATTCTGTGTCCCTGAGTAACAATTCTGTGTCCCTCAGTAACAATTCTGTGTCCCTCAGTAACAATTCTGTGTCCCTGAGTAACAATTCTGTGTCCCTGAGTAACAATTCTGTGTCCCTGAGTAACAGTTCTGTGTCCCTGAGTAACAATTCTGTGTCCCTGAGTAACAATTCTGTGTCCCTAAGTAACGATTCTGTGGCCCTAAAGTCTCTTTGGCCCTAACTCTGTCCCTAATACAGAGAGGTCTGTCTCTCTTGAATGACCGGAGGCTAATGGAGAATTCTAAGATGGCCGCAATTTATAGCTCGACCATTACACAGTGCTGGCTGGCTGGCTGCTGATTGGCTAATGCGATCACATGTCATGAATGAATGCATTATGGGTCAGCGCGCCTTGTCTGCGCGCCTTCCCAGAGATCCCCGCTCCGTCGCCACACATGTCGCCGCCATTTTTGGAAAATTTCGATTCGCGCATCCGAAGTCTGCTAATATTCGGATTCGGCGCGAATCGAATTTTTTCTAATCTTCGAAACGAATTCCACTTCGCCAAATCTCTCAGCATTAAAGGAGCAAGCATAATATGAATGCGAGCTGCATATGGCATTACGGTTAGACTTATTTATCAACCAGAAGAAAAACTGCATGGTATTCTAAAGAATTCAGTTTAACTACAGCAATTAGTTAGCAAAGTGGTCTTGAAATGGCAGAATAAGGTTGCTGCACTAGAGAGTTCCACTCCCATGTATTGTACAGTCCAGTCTTCCTCACTCTAATGAAGAAAGCACTATAATATATGTAAGGAGGCAAGAAACCCCAGGGTAGAGGTCAGCCTAACTGTAGTTTGATGATGACGTACTATTTCACTCCACAGACCCGGTTGCCCACGAGGTGAGCACAACCAACATAGCACCAGCCACGGGCCGCATCACATTTCTGCTGCATCTGACTTCCCAACGCTGGACTCCTTCCTCTCACTGATGGAGGAAGGCCCCTGAGACCTGCTCGCTTGCCTCCCAGAGGAGGAAACAGCTTAGATGGTATACCCACCAGACCAGCTGCCATTTTTCAAGCTGGCCACAAAATCTATGTGCTGCTGTAGACTGCAGCAGCACTGGCTGACCCAAATTCAAAGACCATCTTTAGTACACTGACCACCAAACAAGACCTATCTTGGTATCTCCGAGGCCACTTTTGGTTGAAACTTGAGGTCCATGGTATTAACCATCTTAAACATGATTCTTGGCAGAGACCCTACTGCAGAAGTAGAACTAGACAGAGTGCACCGTACCCAAGACATATATCCCCTAGATGTTAACAAACCCAGAGATACCCTTTGCGTGGATTCACTTTTATAATATCAAGGAGGAAATCCTATGTAAAGCTTGGCATATAGGTCCGATTGATTTTGATGGGACCTCTCTCCAACTTCCCTAGCTAGGATCTCGCTGAAAATGCACTTAAAGCGGAGTGCCACAAAAAATAAAAGTCAGCATCTACAAAAACTGTAGCTGCTGACTTTTAAAAAACAGCCACTCACCTGTCCCACGATCCCACGTTGCCCCCCGCCGCAGCCTGTTTCACCGGCCGTCCTGTATTTCAGGCGGCGGCATCTTCGTTGTGGGCACCTGGCTGTGACAGCTTGCAGCTTCACAGCCAGGTGCCCACTGCGCATGCATGAGTAGTGCTGCACTTCCTGAAGGGCCCTGTTGTCTTCTGGGACCTGTCATGTGTCCCACAAGACCTCAGGGAGGGAGGGTAGGAGGACAAATTCGGTTTCCCATCGCCTAGGAGATCGCAGCTGAAATGGGAGCGGTTGTCACCTTTGTCTGCATTCTACCATTGTTAACACCCTTGTGGGTATGCTTCAGATCTCTTTAAATTTCCATTAATGAACTCACCAATGACTCTTTCCCTGCACTGTGGCTAGTCGTGGTCATAGTCACTGCCCTATGAGCATTGCTTACTCTTTTCTTTTGTACTAATTGCTACGCCTTACTTTATAGGTCCACACTACTTTGGGTTGCTTCTGACTCTATTGGCCAGCCGCTTTTTTCAGGGGGAAACTGTCTGATTTTAACAAATCGTGTTTAGAGATGAGCCTGTTCAGAGAGAAACACTCTGCATTACTCTGGCATATAAATGGATCCCTGTATTTAGATCCATTCTTTCTACCCAGCTTGCATTTGTCCTCCCTTTTGGTTTGAATAATTTCAGGTTTTATGTTCATTTGTTTAAAGCTTGAGGTATACTATATTGCCAAAAGTATTGAGACACCCCTCCAAATCATTGGATTCAAGTGTTCCAATCACCTCTATGGCCAGAGATGTATAAAATCAAGCACCTAGGCATGCAGACTAGTTCTACAAACATTTGTGAAAGAATGGGTCACTCTCAGGAGATCAGTGAATTCAAGCGTGATACCATGATAGGTTGCCACCTGTGCAACAAATCCATCAGTGAAATTTCCTTGCTACTAAATATTCCACGGTCAACTGTTAGTGGTATTATAACAAAATGGAAGCAACTGGGAAAAACAGCAACTCAGCACTGAAGTGGTAGACCACATAAAATGACAGAGCGGAATCAGCGCATACTGAAGTGCATGCATAGTGGTCGCCAACAGCACAACAGCAGTGTGTAGAGATCTTCTTGGAATGGGTTTCCATGGCTGAGCAGCTGCGTCTAAGCCTTAGATTGCCAAATACAATGCATAGCGTTGGATGCAGTGGCATAAAGCACTTCACCACTGGACTCTAGAGCAGTGAAGGCATGTTCTCTGGAGTGACGAATCACGTTTCTGTGTCTGGCAATCTGATGGACGTGTCTTGGTTTTGCGGCTTCCAGGAGAACGGTACTTGCCTGACTGCATTGTGCCAAGTGTAAAGTTTGATGGAAGGGAGATAGTGTGGGGTTGTTTTTCAAGGGTTGAGCTTGGCCCCTTAGTTTCAGTGAAGGGAACTCTTTAGGCATCAGCATACCAAGACATTTTGGACAATTTCGTGCTCCCAACTTTGTTGGAACAGGTTGGAAATGGCCCCTTCCTGTTCCAACATGACTACGCACCAGTGCACAAAGCAAGGTCCATAAAGACATGGATAAGCGAATTTGGGGTGAAGGAAGACTGGCCTGCACAAAGTCCTGACCTCAACCCGGTAGAACACCTTTGGGATGAATTAGAGTGAAGACTGTGAGCCAGGGCTTCTTGTCTGACATCAGAGCCTGACCTCACAAATGCACTTCTGGAAGAATGGTCAAACATTCCCATAGACACACTCCTAAACGTTGTAGACAGCCTTTCCAGAATTGAAGCTGTTTTCAATTCCAGAGTTGAAGCTGTTATAGCTGCAAAGGGTGGGCCAACTCAATAATGAACCCTACAGACTAAGACTGGGATGCCATTAAAGTTCATGTGCGTGTAAAGGCAGGCTTCCCAATACTTTTGGCAATATAGTGTATATCGCTTTAAAGCCTTGATGCTGTTTATTCATCTGCTGCTTGAGATGTGCTTTGGGCTCCTCCGGGGATGATCTTCCTGCTGGACCCCCTAATCTTTGGTGAAGCGTGGGGAAATGAATGTTTTCTGATCATATATCCAGAGCATACCTGGGTTTTGCAATGCCTAATTGCTTGGGGAGGCAGTGAGATCGTGGCATTATGGGGGTCATGTCTTTAGGGGCATGCATTTTTTACCATTATTTACTGGTCAATCCTTGCTCTATGTCCACTCTAGGATAGGGATGGTGATTTATTGAAGTTTGTTATAATTGTTAAGATGCTGTTACCTGACCATTTGTCTATATGTTGTTCTGTATGTCTTCACCAGCTTATAATTAGGGATGTTATACTTACTTGTTTACTACCATTGTTGTGGCAGGTTTCTGCTTCCCTTGTGTTGTGTCACATTTTGGGGGGGCGGGGGGGGACTTGGCACGGTAAGAGCAGATAGGCTAATTTTAGCCATATTCTCACAGGTTTTTTTTTCCTCTGTATCTTTTGCTCTCTTCTTAATTTTCCTCTTCTAGTTCTCCCTCACTTCCCTTGAGGTTATGCTTCCCTTCTGGTTCTCCCTCACTTCCCTTGAGGTGACTGTCCATTATACTTTTTTTTATTTGCACTAACATACAATTTTTGAGGACAAGCTTTCAGGGTGTGTCCCCTTCATAAAGGTCCAAGCAGTACTCATATACAAAGTTTTAGCAGAATGTTGAAGTAAGACAATCTCTGAGGGACACAAACACAAACAAATGTACACAGCCATGGTAGTTATCCACTTGCCGACCATGTAACATGCTTTTACAGTGACAGAGTGGCTCTCCTGTGCTGGATCATGTACTAGGTACAGGCAGATGGCTGTAATTCGGTACAGCACTGATCAGTCATCAGGTCCAGGCCAATTGTTTTCAACCTGTGCCTGCTGATCAGTTTTACCGAGACACAGATCAGCATGTGCTTGTATTTACAAAACACAGGCACAGGAAATTATGTGATCTTCTCTGATGGAGCCCTTTTCAGTTCTAGAGAGAGAAGAGAGCACATCTACTGTGAGTAAAAGCAGCATACTTTCACTTACACACTTCAGGGATGTGCAATCTATATTGTTCGATGCCCGAGACATGCAGGGCTTGTCCGGTGGAAGTATTTGGCTCCACTACTGCTCGATTGCTCCCACACACACCTCGTCAAAGTGCCAGCACCCGCCCCCCTGTGCGTGCAACCCCCCCCATATATCCCAGGCTTTGCTTGCCTATCTGCGGGCCCGGGACTGTCATAGTGGGTGCCGATGGGTGGAGGGGAGGGAGGAGAGTGGACACATGAAAAATCATCACATAGTGTCCCCTATATGATGATTTTTTGGTGACAGGTTTTCTTTATTGATGGCTGGGTAATCTGTCAATGGGGATTTGGAAGTGACCCCATACATTTCTTTCTGGTCCTCCCTCCCATCTACTTGCCAGCACCCACTATGTTGGTCCCAGGCCCACAAATGCACAAGAGCAGCCCAGGATACATGGGGGGGGGAGTTGCACACACAGGGGGGTGGGGGCTGGCATTTTAGCAAGGTGTATGGAAGTAATCAGGTGACAGCGGAGCTGAATTCTATTTCCATTTCGCCCCCTAAGGGATGAAAAAAAAAAGTGTTTATAGTAAAAAAAAACTATAGTTACACCCAAGCACATAAAACCCTCCCAAAATTTTGAGTACAAATGTAAACGCACACATCAGGGCGTCTATACACAAAAACGTCAATTGTGATACACGTCAATTGTGATGCACGCAAATTTAAAGTTTGGCATGTTGGGTATCTGTTAGGGCTCCGGGTATGACCAGAGGTGTGTGGACTGACACAGGGAAACGCAGGCTTCAGGTATAGAGTAAACAAGACAATTTATTAAAGACTAAACAACACAACGCAGTGCAAGGTAAACATAACACAGTGCAAACAACCCAACCTCCAACAGATAACCATATATACAAATCAAACGTAGTCGGGCTGGCCAGGTCGGTAGCAAACGGGCAAACAGGGTACCAGGAGCGAGCGGAAGAGTGGTCAGGAATAGCCGAGGTCAGGACAGGCGGAGTTTGTTCAGAGTCAGGATCAAAGCAGAGTCAGGATCAGGCAGGAAGCAGACAGAATGCAGGTACAGGGGATCATGGGAAACATACACCAAGGCACTGATCACAGGCCTGGTCCTGCTTAAATACACCTCCTGCAATCAGCCTCAGCTGATGGCCTGATTGCAGGAGTACGATTCTGGCTGCTGAGAGCACCCGCTGGCCAGCCTTGGTACTGCAGCCCACAAGGCAGGTGAGTCCCACCACCATTGGCAAGTCCATTCCTGACAGTATTTATTTACTTGGTACAACCTCATCTTTTATGTTTTACCAAAAAATTGGGTAATTTATTGCCTTTTTGTGCCCTAAACTTTAACTTGAGTGTTTTTTACTGAAATTTTGCTTTTCCTAGATCTTTAGAGCTGCTTCACACATGTGAGGTGCAGATTGAAATTCAGGTTTCACAGCTAATTGATACAGTAGTTGTTCAGCAGTTCATGTCAGGTTTACATCAGGTTAAGGACAGGGTTAGCTCAGGATTTTTTTCCTGTTCACGCATATGCTGTTTAGAAATGGTTCCCATAGAAGTCACTAGCCTGTAATCCGCACCTGAACCTGAAGGCTTTGCTCAGAAATCGTACTCTTTTTTTTAACCACTTGAGCTCCTGAGGATTTACCCCCCTTAATGCCTTTTTTTTGCTGTTTGGCGCTGCACTAATTCAAATGATAATTGCGCGGTCATGCAATGCTGTACCCAAACGAAATTTACGTCCTTTTTTTCACACCAATAGAGCTTTCTTTTGATGGTATTTTATCATCTGTGCACTTTTTATTTTTTGCGCTATAAACAAAAAAAACACAAAAATTTTGAAAAAAAAAAAACTATATTTTCTACTTTCAGCTATAAAAAATATATTGTAAACTCAAAGTTAGTCATAAATTTAAGCCAAAATGTATTCTGCTACATGTTTTTGGTAAAAAAAATCCCAATAAGTGTATATTGATTGCTTTGTGTGAAAAGTTATAGCGTCTACAAAACTATGGTATAGATACTGTAATTTATACCTTTTTTTGCTATACAGCGCGCTGCACTAATTCAAATGATAATTGCGCGGTCATGCAATGCTGTACCCAAACGAAATTTACGTCCTTTTTTTCACACTAATAGAGCTTTCTTTTGGTGGTATTATATCACCTGTGCGCTTATTAGTTTTTGCGCTATAAACAAAAAAAACACGAAAATTTTGAAAAAAAAACTATATTTTCTACTTTCAGCTTTAAAAAATATATCGTAAACTCAAAGTTAGTCATAAATTTAAGCCAAAATGTATTCTGCTACATGTTTTTGATAAAAAAATCCTGTGCATTAGCGGGCAAACTGGCGCTATCTGGGAGGGGCGCTAACACTATCGGAAGTCACCAGTGACACTAATACAGTGATCAGTAAAAATCTGTTCACTGTAATCAATGACACTGGTGACAGGGCAGTGAAGGGGTTAACTGGGGTGGGGTGAGGGGTGATCAAGGGGTTAAATGGGATTACTGGTGTACTGGCGGGCAAACTGGCGCTATCTGGGAGGGGAGCTAACACTATTGGAAGTCGCCAGCGTCACTGATACAGTGATCAGTAAAAATCTGTTCACTGATCAATGACACTGGTGACAGGGCAGTGAAGGGGTTAACTCGGGGGGGGGGGGCGATCAGGGGGTTAGACGGGATTACTGGTGTATTAGCGGGCAATCTGGCGCTATCTGGGAGGGGCGCTAACACTATCGAAAGTCGCCAGTGACACTGATACAGTGATCAGTAAAAATCGGTTCACTGATCAGTGACACTGGTGACAGGGCAGTGAAGGGGTTAATGGGGGGGAGAGCTTAAGGGGTTAAATGGGATTACTGGTGTACTAGCGGGCAAACTGGCGCTATCTGGGAGGGGCGCTAACACTATCGGAAGTCGCCAGCGACACTGATACAGTGATCAGTAAAAATCGGTTCACTGATCAGTGACACTGGTGAGTGAAGGGGTTAACTGGGGTGGGGGGATTAAGGGGTTAAACGGGATTACTGGCTGGCAAACTGGCGCTATCTGGGAGGGGCGCTAACACTATCGGAAGTCGCCAGCAACACTGATACAGTGATCAGTAAAAATCGGTTCACTGATCAGTGACACTGGTGACAGGGCAGTGAAGGGGTTAACTGGGGTGGGGGGATTAAGGGGTTAAACGGGATTACTGGTGTACTGGCGGCCAAACTGGCGCTATCTGGGAGGGGCGCTAACACTATCGGAAGTCGCCAGCAACACTGATACAGTGATCAGTAAAAATCGGTTCACTGATCAGTGACACTGGTGACAGGGCAGTGAAGGGGTTAACTGGGGGGGCGATCAGGGGGTTAAATGTGTCCTAGGTGTGTTCTAACTATGGGTATGTGCTGTTTTACTCACTGTTTGTATGTCTTCTTCTCTGTCTGGAACGGAATGTGTCCAGGCA